GGCAGAGGCGTCGGTGCGTGGTGGCCAAACTCTAATAATATGCAAATTCAAAGCACAATCGTTGCGACCATATCTAAGGTATGACTCCAACTTAGATCTATCGCCATTGTTACCGAATTGCTCTCTTTTTTTGACCCTCATTCCACCATTGGAGACTTTCGCCTCAAACCTGTAACTAGATTAAAAAAATCCCACAATTTCTTATCCAAAATCAATTTTCACTAGATAAAAACTACCATACAATCACCACCGTTGGGACTCAGATTTGGACATTATTGCTCACCTCATCAACACCGCCATTCTCATCGGTGCTCTTGAAGCTCTTAAAAATTTTCAGATCTCGTTTGCCATTCGGAAACCCTAACCCTAGCACAAATCTAGAAAAATTCTCCGATCTAAAATCCTCGAACCAGGCGGCATGCTTGATGGTGACACACGGTGGTGATGGTGGAAGTTTGTAGTGATGGTGGCAACGAGTAGGGATGATATGTTCTTGAGTGTGTGTGTGTTTGTTTTATTGAGTATGTATATTTTTAGGTGTGTGTTTTGGAGAACAAAACCAGAAAATCTGACGTGTGGATGTGTTCATGAAGATGTTCATGCTATTAATTATGTATGTTTTGTGTTCGTAAAGATGATCTTAAGTGTTTAAGAGAGAGAGAGAGAGAGAGAGAGAGAGAGAGAGATGAGAGAGATGTAGGTGCGTAGGTTTTCTTTTATTTTTAATTAATTAAAACAGTTAACATACAATATATTAAAAAAACAAATATAGGGGGTATAACAGTATTTTTAAGTTGATATTGACTAAAATCACTAAAAAGATCCAAAATTAGACTACTAATACATCATCAAACGTTTGTAGACTAAAACCAAATGTTTTTTACAATCACATGGACCATTTTTACAATTTTGTCTTAGTAGTATTTTAAAACACTTTTCACTTTTTCATATGAATAAAAATATAAATAAAAAGAAAAACACCAATATATTTAATTTCTCTACAAGAAGACTTAATTCAAATCTTATGATATACAAATTCTCATGTACAATGTCATTCGCATGCACAACATACCCCCATTATTTGCAGCCCGTGATAAACTTTTGACTCCTCGCCTATTAAGGATTTCTTCTATGTTAATCCAAATCAATCTCTCATTGACAATAACATCTCATGTATAAGAAATAAGCTATTGGAACAAAGAACGTAGATTTTCCATGGACCAAAATCTTGTTGCAAGTATTCTTGTGTATTATTATTATTATTAATTAATAAATAACAAAACATTGAATCAATGTTTATAAAATCAAACCAAAAAATCACCGGAAGGAAAATTATGAAAACTGAAGCGAGAAAGCAAGATTGTTTTCTTTCACCAAAAGAATAAATCAAAATACTATAAAATCAAAGACCAAGAATGTCAAGTCCGCGCATGGCTTTTATGGGCTGGGCCACACACAATTAAATTAGATTGGGAAGCAAGGCTCACATAAATTCTTGAGAATTGGGAGCAGACATATATATTTTTTATTATTTATTGGATTAATTTACAAAATTTAACAAATTAATTTATAACTTTGAGTATTAGTATTTATTTCGTAAAAAAATTGTCATACAGAGTAAGGGTGTATTCGGCATATAGTTTTTTAGAGGTTGTAACTTTTATCTTTAAAAAAAAAACTTGAAAAAAAATTATTCATAAATAAAAGCATCCAACTTTTAGCTATAAACAAAAGTTACACCAAATAGCATTTTAACAAAAAACTTTTATAATTTCGTAATTGACTTAATTACCTTTTTTTTTTTTTTTTTTTTTAAATCAATGACATGTTTTAGATAAGTTAATTTATACAATTTCATATGTTTTAAAAACTTACAGTTAATTTTGTTGAACACCCGTATACAAATAAAAACTATAGTTTCCAACTATAAACTATTTTTACCGAACATGTTCTAAATCATTGTATTGTCTGTTAGTTTAGATAATAAAAACATCTTATCAAATCAATATCTAGACGTTTGATATGGATAGAATGTATAAATATGTGATGTTTATTGATCTCCCGTAAATTTATATATATACCTAATTCTCAAACGTAAAATAACGAAAGTATAATTAGATTAAACGTTAATATGTATCTCTAAATTAATATTTAATAATAAATGTCCAGTAGTCCCCCATAAGTGAAGCTGGAGGTTAACGAATGTTAAGATTGTTGTGTAATTCATTAAACAAAATGCAGGAAAGATCTCTATTGAAGACTTCAACTAGGGATAAGATTTAGAACCGGAAAACAGGATCGGAACCGGAATATGTAGAACCGGATCGGGTCCTAAGTTTAAAGAATGACTTTATCCGGGTTCCCGTAATCTGGATTTCAGGTCCTTCGAGTTCAGGTAAACTTGGTTTAAGAACCGGAACCGTGTTAGGAACTGGAACCAGTTTTAGGGGTCGGAACCGGTTTATGTGAAAAGTTTAAAACATGCATATTTCATTCGTTTGAAGTCGGATTGGCATGATTTTTTTTTCAGAATATAGATTATAGTTTGTACATGATTTTAGTTTATATTTTTGTTATTTTTTGGTTCATATTTATTGACTTAAAGTCCCTCAAAAACCGGATATTAAAGGTGAAAATTTTATGTTTTTAGTTTTATTTATTTATTTATTTATTTATTTATTTATTTATTTGTATTCTGTAAAAGTTTTAAAACATTCATATATAATTAAATTGAAGTCGGAATAACATGTGGTTTTTTTCCAAAGTGTATGATTTTAAACTATAATTTTGTCATTTTTGCTTTCATATTCATTGACTTACAGTTCTCCAAAGTCGGGATATCAAAGCTGCAAATTTTATACTTTTTAGTTTTCTTTTCGTATTCTGTAAAATTTTAAAACATGCATATCTAATTCGTTTGACGTTGTATTATCATTAGGTTTTTTGCAACATGTAGTTTAGAGTTTTTACATGATTTTTGACTATAAATTTATCACTTTTTGTTTAATATTCATTGACTTAGGTGCTGTTTGTTTTTTGGAAAAAACCTCTTCAAACCTCTTACTGCTGCGCGGCGCAGCACTTTTCATTTCGCAGTTGTTTGTTTTTTAGAAGTCTTCTTAGTCAAAAACCTCTGCGCGTGCTCTGTTTGACGCAGCACTTGTACTGCCTCTTCCAACCTCTTATTCTTCTTATTTTATTGCTGAAATTATGATTATATGTTATTAAAATTTTATTTCATATTTTTTTCCCTTTTTTTCGTTTATTCTTATTGAATTTATTTTTCATTTTTTTTATATTCAATAATAATAATTTCTTGATGAAATATCATTATTTTTTACTGAAAATATATTTATTTTTTGTTGAAATATCATTCTTTTTTACTGAAATATCATTAATTTTTACCGAAATGTTATACATTATTAAATTTTACGTATTAAAAAGCTATTTTCGGTTTATAAAATTAGTTTATTATAATTTTTTAATATCTGCAGCAGTATGCAGATGTTAAAAAAACAAACACGCTTCTTATTATAGTCTGCAGCCGTTTGATCCACCTCTTCTACTGCAGAGGGTTGCAGAGGTGGTCCGCAGACTTCATGAATTTTTGCTTCAGAAAATCAAACAGCACCTTACAGTCCCCCGAAGTTGGAATATTAAAGCTGAAATTTTTCAAAGTTCAATCACTAATTAATTACCAAAAATTCCGGTTTTTCCAAGTTTTCCGGTTCTAGATCCATTTTAACCAGTTCCATCTGACCCACTTTGATGTTTAGAAGCAACATGAAGAATTTAAAATTTACATATTGCAATGTTTTCTCAAACGAAACCACTTGGGTTGTGGTGACTTCATAAGACATGCAGATAATATGATTGATAATCCATTGACAATGTTCAACTCCTTACACTAACTACTCAGCCATTGTGGTTATGGAGGTTCGTCTGCAGTAACTCCAGGATATGAGACAAAACCTTATGTTTGCAGCGGGGGATTAGTCGGTGTGCAACAGTTGACCCGAAAGCCCTCGTTAGAGAAGTTCCCTTTCAAAAAAAAAAACATTTCTCGGACAAAGTTAATATTTATTATGATATGTTTGGTGAGTTGATGTTGAACCGGATTTCCGCCAAATAAATAACACTAACAGCATCACAATAAACAATTGTTCCCTTACTAGCGGACAATACAGATCAAGAAAGAGATCAACTATTTTTCATATAGAGGGTAATGTAGATGAATGATATATTTAATATTTGATACTGTAATAGCATGATGAAACTTGGTTTATGCGACCATGATTAGAAGAAAACAAGTTTGAGAGAAAT